AAAATTAGGGAGACTAGATTTCATGACCTGTAAGACCCCTTCCATATCTAACATTCTATGCTCTTGGGCAGGAGATCATATCATAGCTTCAGAGTTGGAAGGGACCTTACAGATCATCTAATCCAATTCCACTCATTTTACAGGTGAAAAAAGAAAAAGGTCCAGAGAGATTATGTGATCTACTGAAGGGTCACATTTTAATTGTTCAGTAGTTTCAGTCATGCCTGACTCTTTGTGACCCCATCTGGGGTTTTCTTGGCAAAGAGACTGGGGTGGTTTAGCCATTTCCTTCTCTAGCTCATTTTACAGATGAGGAAACTGAGGCAAATAGGGTAAGTGACTTGCCCAGGGTCACACAGCTAGTAAGTGTCTGAGGCTGGATTTGAACTCAAGTCTTCATGACTCCAGACCCAGCACTCTATCTACTGTACCACCTAGCTGCCCTGTAGGTCACATAGGCAGTAAATAGTAGAAGTGGGATTTTAACCAAAGTCCTATGATTTCAAAGCAATTGCTTGTTTTCACACTGTACTCAAAGTAATCAAAATGAAAGCAATATGGATTTCTTTTTCTTTTGTTTTTTGGCTAAAGAGAAGCACGCCATCCCCTGGATGAGTTTTCTCAGTTTCTGTTTTCAGGACAGTCTGGTATTTGTGTATGCTTATGTGTGTGCATGGAAATTTAAGACTGGTGTTAGGACTAGATAGGATAATGCCGGGCAACTTGACAGATGAGGGAAGAAGGAATGACCAGGAGATATATGGGACATTCGTGTGAAGTGAGTGGGTGGGTGAGGCCAGATTATGGAGCACCTTGAATGCCAGACTGAAGAATTTGGACTTTTTTCAGTAGGCAGAAGGGACTCATTGAATCTCTTTGAGCTGGGAGTTGACGTGAGCAACACAGTGCTTTAGAAAGACTCATCTTGCAGTGATTTGTGAAATGTACTGGAGTAAGGAGAGACTAAGGGCAGAGAAACTGGTTATTCGGCTCTTGCAATGAGCCAAGGAATAGCTTATTAGCACCTGCACTGGGGCCATAGCAATGGAAGAAGAGGAATGAGCAATAGTACAAGAGAGACACTGCAGAGAAGAGAGGACCAGATTTAGAGATGGGAGTTGAGGGAACAAGAGGGAAGAGACAGATTATTCTGAAGTTTCAGGTCTGGGTAAATTAGAGAAAAGTGATGCCATGATGCCAGGTCCAGAGGAGATACTACAGGAGACACAGGTGTACACTCTTGGGCCCCAGCCCTTCCAGGAACCCTACAATACTACTACTGCCTCCCCCTCCTCTTCCTTCTTTTGTTACTCCATTTCCACCCCACTACCTCAGCTGTGGTCATCTCTGCCTTTGCTGCTGGGATCATTCCACTGCCCCACCACCATCCGTTCTGCTGCTCCTGATACTGCTTACATCTTCAGCTATGGCTACCTTCACGTGGCAGCACCACTACTGCTACTGACTGAGGGCTGGGAAACTACTCCCTGCCAACACCTTCTATGTCCAGGCAGTTGAGCCTCCACAAATGATGAAATGCTGATATTTTAAAAGCATCTTTCTATAAAGGAGCTTTAGGTCCATTTAACGGAATGAATGTACAACACATCACTTTCTCTGTTGCTCAGAGCCTACAAAAGCGAACGTTTCCTTGGCTAGTATTGTAGTAGCGTCCTCTTGCATTTACATTAAAAATAAAGTCTATTATGAGGGCAGTGTTTTGGGGAAGGCAAATGAATTTTTTATGTAAAATATTTCCACTCCTAGCACATTTTAAGAAAAGGAAGAAAAACAAAGTGAGAAAATTATACTTCAATTTGCACTGAAAGTCCATCAGTTTTCTCTCTGAAGATGGATAATGTTTTTTCATCATGAGTCCTTTGGAACAGTCTTGGATCATGGTATTGATCAAAGCAGCCAAGACTTTCAACAGTTGATCATCACTGCAGCCTTGCTGTTACTGTGCACAATGATCTCCCAGTTCTTCTCACTTCACTTTGCATCAGTCCATATATGCTTTGCCATGTTTTTCTGAAACCATCCCCTGTCATTTCCTACAGCACAATAGTGCTCCATCACAATCATATGCTACACCTTGTTTAGCCATTCCCCAATTGATAAGCATCCTCTTGATTTCCATTTCTTTGCCACCACAATGAACTGTTATAAATATTTTTGTACATATGGGTCCTTTTCTTTTTCTTTTGATCTCTTTGGGAAAGGCAAGTGAATTATATTTCACTTTAAAGGGCCTCTCTGTAGGGAGAATGGCAAAAATATTGTCCAATTGTGAACCATGGGCAGAGGCTGAGGAGAAAAGAGGCTTGGTTTGTAAAAACTCATAAGCCTGGAAAAGAAGAGGACATGCATTTTCATTGGCACTAATTCATCAGTCTCCTGCCAGTCATATCCCTCTGCCTTTGTACCCTATGACACTGACATTTTTCTCCCTGTAAGAAATATAATGAGGCAATTCCACCGTACATTCCAATGGCATAGAGAAGAATGATATTTGTCACAGTACTATATTTCATAACATTTTGGAAGCCTCAATGTCAAAGCATATAACCTAATTATATCTCACTGGACCCCTTGGATTTCCTTGGTCTCTTCTATCTATGGCTCATTCCTGGATGGCCATCCTATTTTCCTTCTCGCCTTCTCACCTCTCTTGACATCTTCCCCATTTGTTCCCATGTCTTCTCTCTCTATTTTTTCCATATGGCTTCCCCTTCCTTACTTCATTTCATTTCCCCAGATTTCTAGCTTGGCACTGTTTCCCCTTTCTCAACATAGGCCTCAATTCTCCCACATCCTGGAGGCCAAATTATTCTCTGTGTGTGTGTGTGAAGGGAGTTGTGGAATGCTTAAAATGAGACTGTATATTCTTACATTTAGTATGGATAGGCTGAAGATGACCCTTGGAAGAGCCAAGTAAATAGGGTCCTGCTGTATCGTGCCAACTTCTATGTTGGCAAAATTCACCAACTGTTGGAAGCCAGTGAAGGAATAAGAATAATGGGATTAATGGTGGCTGCAAATTCTATTCTTAACTTTGCCATGAAATGTGCCCTTG